AGTGCGATCCTTTCACTGGCCGCGACGTTTCACCGTGCGGTTCGGTCGGTCCCGTGTCTCTAACGAAAAAGAGAGAAGAATTATCCTCCGAATCGAGGCTACCAATAAGCAATAATTGTACGTTTAGCGACCGCGCCGCGTTTGCATTCGTGCCGGCACGACAAGCTGAAGCAGGCCGCCGTGGAGCAGGGAAGCGAGGAACAAAATGACTATATCTTAATCATCTCTGGTTATTGCCTTTCTAGACCGTGAGCCGTTCGACTCCGCTCGTGGGAACACACGGTCAAGTCGCGAATGTGAAAAGGAGAATGCCGGAAACACGCGCGGGACGATTGCGACATGCTTGCCATTCTCACTCTCCAAAATACAGAGGATGATTTTCATCAAACTTTTATTAAGCCAAACGGTAACTAGCAGGATTACCAAAATCGATCTTTAGCTCTGTAACCTGTCGCCTAATAATAACAGAAAGAGAATTAATAATCTCTGTTTTACTTTCTTAAAGTGAATCAGTGAAACATCATTAAAAGCAGTAAATGTACACTGATTTGCAGCTATGAGTATAGCACTGAAACTACTCAGTGCTATACTTATAATTGATATCAGTGACTATTCACTGATCCACTTTAAGAGAATACATTGCGAAACTTTGATACTATAATCATATAGAAAAGGAATTATAGTCAGGATAACAAATTTTTAAGTAAATATTACTATAGTATTAATAAAAGAGAAAGATAATAACCTTATGTGTATGTATCTGTGTATGTGAATATTATTATTACTATTTTTTTGTTAAAATAACGATAAGATAATATGACTATAATTTATTAGTAAAGTAATGTTAACTATTGTTTGCTTTCATAGAATGTAGTAAAATATAACAGGTACATTGAAAGAAAAAAATGACTAATCTCATTAAAATTATAATTATTTTTGGCACCAACTACACACATACACACAATACAATACACACAAACACACAATGTTTTGTTGTTATAAGAAAAATAGTAACAATATACATGAAAGACGATTATCACTAACACTAGTAGCTAGTGATAATAGTTAATGTGTGTCTACACACACACACAATACAATACACACAAACACACAATGTTTTGTTGTTATAAGAAAAATAGTAACAATATGCATGAAAGACGATTATCACTAACACTAGTAGCGCCTGATGTAGCGCAAAATGTATGTTATAAGATAATGGGTAATCATCAAATATGGGCAACATGAGGTTCAATGTGATAATCTGGTAATCTGGAAATTTGGTAAACATTTGACCATAACTCTTGATGTACATGTGTTTTGTATAAAATATTTTATCTAATAAATAATTTATTTTTTTGTTTGATATTGTGACATCAACTACAGTTTGAGGAGTGTTAGCATATGACTAAAACATTTATGATATATGTAACAAAGATCATTTTTAATAAATAATTATTACATTATATACGAAAGCACTGTAACTTCTACAGTCCAGACATTTATTTCAGTTTGATCAAAATTAACCAGAATGCTTATCTGCTTACCATCTCGTTTGATGACAAATGAATGTTTTATTTTTACACAAACATACATCTACAGGAGAGAGAGAGAGGGGGGAAGAGGGGGAGATATACACGCATATCGTTTCGAAACGCCCAAGTCTGGTTGAACTCGTTGAGAATTTCCACGTAGCGAACCCCTGTGTGATGGCATGGGAAAAATATGAAAAAATATGAACTCCGCAATTTCGCGGCGCGCGCGCGTGTTTAAGGTATCGGGGCGGGTGAAGAAGGATAAGCTAAGTTGGACAGTGATGCATACGTGCGAGAAGTCGTGTCTACATGATCCGCACGTATAAAGCATTATCGGCGCCCATGCCCGCGGGGAAAAACTGTCATTGATTGAGTACGGGATCGGCTTGAAAGACACCGGAGATGCGTGCCGGCGATAAACGGCCTCTTTCGACTCGTTTATCGCGCGATTCATTGCTAATTTTAACGCCGACTCGAGATAATTTCTTCCTCGACAACCTCGAAAGCGGACGATCTAACGAGAGGATAGCTCGCGACACGCGAGATACTATGGAGAGATCTCAGCGCGAAGTTTCAACGTGACAAATCGGCATTCAAATGTCTATAATGAAATGTCTAACTGGAGTGAACTATAACTTATATAACTATAACGTACACGCAAATTCACAGCATCATAATACACAGATCGACATAATAGTTTTAGCTTTTAGACTAGCCTAGACTGTAAACGGCGCATATATGGATCTAACAAAAGTCTTCGCTATATGTGAACAGTGCTCAGCGTTTACTGAAGTAAAGCATCGTGACGATTAGTGTTGGTTCCACGTCGTCCAGCGATCTCGTCTTGCTGTCGAATAAACTGTAATCTAAACAATATTACAGGGAGAATCACTCCTTCTAAAAAAGAATTCACAGAAAAATAGAAAACAAAAAGGCAAAAGCCAATCGGAACTCGCACTGGTGGTCAGATAGTAGTTTGTATTTCTACCAGTGCGAGTTCTGGTTAGTTTTTGTCTTTCTGTTTTCTGCTTTTCTACTAAGATGTAAATTCTCCCTAATTCTCATACCTGACCATCTGACTACCTCACGCGAGCTCTGATTGATTGTTGCCTTTCTGCTTTTCTGCCAAAGTGTGATTTCTACCTTAAGATTAGAACCGTAACAAAAAACGTAAATAGCAAGTCTCACAATAGGTGTAATAAGTCTTTAGCTTTTTGCTTTAAAGTCTGTAATTTCTGGCAAAAAATTTTTCTCATTGTCTTAATAGCTGGAATCTGGCCAGCTTGCTGAAAGCTTAAGGATTATGGCAGTAGTGGGAAATACTTTTAGTCGATAATTACATCACATTTTTTAGCTTAAAGTAGATGGCTTAGTAGAAGTTTACTACACTTATTATGAACCGAGACTAACTGTAAGACTTAAATAGTAAAACAATTAATCAATCACAACCGATTACTCTTGGAATGTAAAGAGAATAATCAACTGTAGTTAATCAATTTGCTTACTGCTTATGTTTTTCTGTATGCCTCTAGCATATGCCTTAACGCATAAAGTTACATCATGTATCAGGATTTTTCCACTTTTAGATGGTAACCTTCAATAATTCGCGAAATAAATAAAATGGATCGCGTAAAACAGAAAAAATGCACAAAAATGTTTGAAATACAACTAAAATAAAACATTTCTGACGATTCATTTTTCTTTATACCTTTTTTATATTCTCTGAAAACCAATTTTTCAATTTAAAATTATTTAAAAAAATGTAATATACTCACAATAATGTAGAAAGTTTATCGCAGAAAAATGATGTTATATTTTTCTATATTATGAGTTCTAAATCATAGAAGGAATTGTGTGTTGTATTGATATAATTGTTCCTCATATTATACTTGCTATATTTTTAAGTGACGTTTATCTTAAACATATATACTAAATCGCAATACAAAATGCAGTTTCTGCAGTGGACCGCAGTTAAAAAAGCTGGAAAAATGCTATTTTAGTTTTCCATAAGAAATACATTATGCCCTTAAGAGGAGTGTAACTTTACATGTTGAAACTATTATAGACGGATCTATATATGCTGAATCATTACAATTAGGTACACGATTTTCGATTTTATACTTTTACATCGTAAGGCTGGAAATCGTACAACCCTAATAAACTTTATAGCTTTAGTTATAACGACCAGAAATATGTGATACCGAGTGTAAACAGGCCGGCGTGATAATAAGCTTTAACACATGAAATTATACCATTTTAGAACTTTCCATAAAAAATACATTACGCTTTCTAGAAAGGTGTAACACTTTATGTGTTAAGGCTACTTATGCTGATCTGTGTATGCGATCCTCTTTGTACTTAATTGTATAGTAAGAAAAAAAAGACGCGCAAAGGACCATTATATTGAGCGAGTCTTTATGAGCCTTTTCACGCTCCAGCAATTTCGCGATATCGTGGACCACGCTTTAATATAATTCGACGGTTTTCACGTAGATGATAAGTTTCTCGTGAAATAACGGAGCTGCGAATGATAACTTGCTACTGTGTAATTTTGACGAAAGTATCGTATGATACTCACGCAGAAGTCATTTCGATCTTGGTGTCTGCCTCCGGTGGATGGAGCCACCGATTACTTCATACAGAAAATGCATTCTCTTCCGTCCAGTTAATAAAGATATTACAAGAGAAACTTCAAAATGTGTTTCATTATATAAAGTAGTAACAATACAGTAATAAACAATTAAAAAAAAACTCGATATCAAACTCATCCCAATAAAATATGTTCAAATTTATTTTGCGAATACTGAGATTAATAATAAATTGTTACACTTCTGTTATTCTCGACAGTTTTCCCTGTCTATTCGACAGTTTTGTAACATTTGCGAGCTTCATAAAGTAACCAAGCATTCCCATTTTTACATAATTAAATTTTATATTAAAAATTTATATATCGTAAAATTCAAATACGAAATACGTGTTTCCAGGATGGCGTATCAATACATCGACCTTGCGGAACGTTCTATTGATATATCGATACACGTGTTACACATCTTCGCGGTTAATTCGGCAATTTGTACACATCAAGCGAGAGACGTGATGGAAATTCTAACCGCGACGGAACGTATCCATATGTGCCCTGATAAAGCAATCTGTATTACGTTGACTGGCAATCTCGGTTATAAGTTAATTTGTGTTTGATGTTTTTTATGAAGTCGAGTTTTCGCAACATGAGAACCGTGATAAATATTTTGTTGCGTTGCGACCGACATTAACATGTTCTCGATATTTACTATCAATTATCTCCTAATGTTGCAAAAATATAACCTACAAATATTATTGTACAAAATAATATTCAGTAATAATATTATGAGTATGCACACATAAGTAGTCAAGTATTTCAAAAATAAAACGTTCAAAAGTCTAGACAAAGCTTTTATCTTTTGATCAATGATATAATAAGTTGAATACCTTTTATCCATACAAATAGCACACACTGAGAAAATATTATCTACATATTACACAGCTCAAGAGGCGAAACTGATAAGATTAAAAGTTTATACGTACTTGACTATTTAAACGTATCCTAAATAGAAACACGCAATTTATTGCTATTGTTATCGATAGATTACCAGTGAAGGTTATCGAAAGCGCTCGTGAGTGAAGATATACATGGGCGTATTGAATCTCAATAAAGCGTTAACATTTACTAATCCATAGTCCATTAGTTCTTCTAATTACTCTCCCATCGTATCGAAAATATCATATATTAGACTGTCAAAATGACGATTTAACCAAATGTTATTATCAGCCATAATGTGTACACATATCCAGATACGATGTGCACAAATAAAAAAATTAGTGAGTGTTTCAGTATAATAAATGTTGAAAAACTTCATTATAGCTTAATATATACTAAGTAATAATTAAGTAATAACTATATTATAACTAATATACTAAGTAAAAACTACATTTGTAGGTTCGTATACACATACATTCGAATCGGCACAATAACCTTAACACATAAAGTTACTGTTGTTAGATAGCGTACGATGTATTATCAGGTTGTGGAAGCAAGATAACAACATTCTTTTTAATGAATTTTACAACGCATCCTTATCTAATAAAAGGATTGTTGGTCAAAACAAATGAAAGAGAGAGAAACAGGCTCTTAGTTGAATAATTTTCTTCAATTATTTCTTTAATTATTTCTTCAATTATTTCGATTATTTATGAATGGATAATAATGTTTGATCATGTAATAAACAAGACTGATAAAACAATCTGTATTACGTTGACTGGCAATCTCGGTTATAAGTTAATTTGCGTTTGATGTTTTTTATGAAGTCGAGTTTTCGCAACGCGAGAACCGTGATAAATATTTTGTTGCGTTGCGACCGACATTAGCATGTTTTCGATATTTACTACCAATTATCTCCTTACGTAGCAAAAATATAATCTACGAATATTATTGTACAAAATAATACTCGGTAATAATATTATGAGTATGCACACATAAGTGGTCAAGTATTTCAAAAATAAAACGTTAAAAAGTCTAGACAAAGCTTTTATCTTTTGATCAATGATATAATAAGTTTGATATAATAAGTTAAGAGAGTTTCCTCTCAGTCTTCTTTCTCTTTCAATAATTCACAAAAAAATTAATTTTCCTGTTGTATGCGTGGACGCTGGATACGTTCTCAAGTTAAAAGTTCTGAGATAAAAGTGCTGTAACTTTTCTTTAACATTGGCTGTATTCCTCATAGAAAGGTCTAAATTAACTTGATATGTTATGCTGATTTGTATGTGTAACTTATAGGTTCGTGTAGCAGAGGAAAAGTATAATACTTGAATTATCGTAGTTTTGACATTGTGTATTAAATTGACGACCTGTCCACATTGAAATCACGAAGTTGTCTAATGGAATTTTTCCGTGGAAAATCATCACATAGTACGACTAATAGTTCAAACAGACCGGGTGCTTGGTTACCCGATAAGCCTCTCTTTCTCTCTCCGTTTTTTCTTCCGAGAGAAAGAATCGCGGCGGATGTCATCACGGCGGGTTATCAGCGACTATCAAAGTTTCAAGCGACTTAACACCGTACGAGCGTTTAGTAATCGGGAAGGATGCGCGGGTTCTACACGATCGTCACGCTGGTGACGGTTCTCTTCGTGAACCTCAGCTGGGGTTGGTCTTTCTCGAATGTGGCGGTGTCTATCGATAAGTTGATGCGACCGCAGGCTGAGGAGTCGCGAACTTTGAATTTTAACAAGAACAACAGCACCTCGTCGAACAACATCCCGGAAGTCACGGTGCAGAGTAGAATAATAGTAGTTCCACGAAGGACCAACGGTCGCTGTCAACCGGGCGAACAGGTCGATCGGCGTGGCAAGTGCAGGACGGCGTGGTGAGCGAGTTCGGCGGACAAATAGTGGGAGCAAGGTACGCCTAAATACTTCAGGGTGGCTCACTTTTGCGACAACGTCATATAATAGAATTGTCAGAATTTATCTTTCGTCCTCTCTTCTCGTATTGTCTGTAACTATATCTTGAAAGAGAAAAGGGCTCCATCATCTTCGTTTCTTCAGCTATCGGATTTATGAAATACCTAAAACCTGAATTAATAATTTTATACTTAGAATTTGCTTCAAAAGAGATATATTAAAAAAAGTTTTAATATATGTGACTGTAATGGCAGTGAGAGCATTATAGTCAGATAGTAAGTATTACTATAATATTAGTGATAATAACCTTATACGTATATTGCTGTTTTTATTTTTTTATTAGAACAACAAAAATATAACTGACTATAATTTTAATAAGATTAACTATTTTTTTCTTTTAAAATACTTCTTTTAGAATTTAAATTTTTCTTTTTTAGAATACTTTCTTTTAGAATTTAAATTTAATGTTAGAATTGAGTTTGTCACTTGAATTATATCATATATTATTATATATGACATTATATTTATAATCGTGATTTAGCTGAAAAACTCACATCTAATTCTAAATTCAAATCTGACTTCAGAAAAGTTTCAAGTAACGACTATTAATACGGATTTCAGAAACTGCTCGTTAAATTTTGTAGAATGAAATCTCTCTTAAAATAAGTAAAAATTCAGTCGAAGTGAATTAGAAAGTGAATTTATTCCAGTAATGGTGCAGTATGTCAAATGTACACTTCAATATCGAATCAAAATATTCACTCGACTATTCAGAGCGTAAAATTCGCTCAATGTATGAAAAGTCACTCAAATTCGAGTGGAATTTTATTCGAAGAAATTTAGAATGTAAACGTTCGTAAATGTAGGATTTTACATAAAGAAAAAAGTGTTTGGTATTTGTGACTATAAACGCATAATGAAAGGATTATAGTCAGGTAAACTATTTATGTAGTAAGCGCTACTGCGAATACCACTTAGTGTCAATTATAATAAACTTATATGCATATTATTGCTATTATCTTCTTATCAAAACAACGAGAAGATATACCTGGCACCAAAAATTAACTATAATTCAGTGTACGAATTTACTTCTCTCAACCTAAACGTGAATATTTCTTTTTTAATCTCAAACATATCAATCGTTTTTGAAACGTTTGAAATGTATGTTTTGAAACATACATTTTTGAAACGTACATACAGCTCCCAAGCCCGCCCAAGTGAAGTCCGTGATTTCGTCACGCGGTTCCCGGTACCACAGTCACGAATCGATGAAAAATTCCAGGCACGTCGGCTGATAAAGACGCCAGCTGGTGTATTCGCGATATTCCGCTTCTCCGATAAAGCAACCTTTTAATCCGCTTTGAGTACAAGGTCGATTTTAATTTTAGCCAGCTCGTCCATTTCCGAGTGGACTGTTTGCGCTCGATTCGAACGGGAGCGAATCAATCGTCGCTAGTTTCGCAGCGGTGGCGGCTAAAAGTTTCGATCGCGCAACGCTCCCGATTTTCTACGGGCGGAAAATGCGAGATTCGTTCGCGCTCGTATCGCAAAACGTGCGGAATCTAAATTTCATTCGCGCCTGGTCGTGATCGCGTATTCTCTTCCGATAAGAGACGTGACAAAACAACAGACCCGTTGCAGCGGAAAAACGCTTTATTCCAGATTAGATACTGATAATTGAGCTTTAGGATACTGGTCTCTCCGGGGTATCGATTGACAGTCCGTTGCGATCATCATTTGTGGCATAAAGTGTCTCACGACAGTCATACGACTGTCAGTGTGGTGCATCTCATTCGAGGAGGAAGTCATCCAAAGATTCGTCTGCGTCGCGCTGTCGAAACGCGCCGGAAATCTTCAATTCTCAATCCGCGGCGACTCGTTTCTCTGGAGTCGCCAAAAGTATAGGAAATGTGTCGGAAAATGTAATAAAGTACGTAAGTGATTCCGCGTGATTTCATACTGAGTGCTTCATAGCGGATCACCGAATTCTCGAGAAGAATTGTGCTCGAACGTCAAGAGAGAGAGAAACATACGAAGAAGCAAACGATAATCCCAGCCCGCATCGAAAACTCAACGCGATCGGAAACCGAATAATTTGTCGAGGGCAATCTAGACGTCGATCCCGAGCGCTTGTTAATTACACGCTGTACGCTGCAGTGCGCTCGTACTCGTAATCATGAGGCTATCATTGGCTGTAATGTGCGCGATAACGCTGTTTTTCTTCCTGTCGAACGCGCGCGCGACCAATTCTGACGCGTCGCAGAAGAACGAGTATTTCCAGCGCTTCGACGAGAAACCCAAAATCTCAACAACACCCAAGGCAAGCTCGATTATCAATGTTCCCAGGAATTGTCCGCCGGAGAAGGTTAAAATTGGAGATCGCTGTAGAAGCGTCTACTAGGTAAGCCGAGAGAAAGGAGAAGAACGCGGAAGCGTGAATCTTCCGGCGACAATGATAGCCACGAGAAACGATAGTCGCGCGAGCTTGTTTCGCATCAGCCTTATAACTTTCAAGAGCGAATACAAAATTCAGGCTGACCAGGCTGTAAGAAATACAAAATTAGATGAAAGAGTTAGGCGTAGAGCGACGAGAAGAATAAAGGGTAATAAAATCCAAGTTAACAGTAACTTTAATGTAAACTTAGAAAACAAAGCCAAAGAGATAAACACAGGTTTTGTCTTAATCTTTTAAGGCGCATAATTCATGGCGCATAAAACATTCTAGTAACTTTTTTTATAAAATATTGTCAAAAACACTCCAAATAGCACATTTATAAAGTTTCAACTGCTCGGTCTTAAGTGGTCCCTATTGATACCACTTATATGGTACCAGTGATATTTAAAGTAAAGATTAATGTACCGCAGTAACATAAAAGAGACGAGTAAAGGATACAACGTATATACGCTGAGAATTATAAACGACACGAAGCAAGCCGCAGCCCGTATAAAGTGAGCTAAGCGAGACAGCCAATCAGCATTGCGGAAAAGAGGCTTCAACGTTTCGATACAAAATAAATTCACGATAATACGCACTTTTTATTAAAGGGATTACTATTCATAATCTCTAGAATAATTTTTACTATAAAAGATACTTTTCCTGACTACAATTATTTCACTATGCGATTATAGCTGATTATAATCACAAAACGTGTATACACATTGAGAGAAAAAGAAAATAGTTAATTGCGTTGAAATTAAAATCGTCTCAGCGAGCCCTAATTATATTTCTTATTTTTCTAGTAAAAGAGCAATAATAGCGATAACCAATAAGCATATAAGGTTACTATCCATCATCACTATAATATATTTTTGACCACAAAAATATTTTTTCTAACTATAATTATTATATTATGCGATTATAGTCCATTATAATCATAAGACGTGCATATACATTGAGAGAAAAAGAAAATAGTTAATCACACTGAAATTATAGTCGTCTCAGCGAGCGCTAACTATATTTTTTGTTTCTCTAACAAAAGAGTAGTAATAGCAATAAGCATACTAGATTATTATCAATCAGCACTATAGTATCTCTGACTATAAAAATACTTTCCCTATAATTACTTCATGTGATCATAGTCGCTAAACATTTTTTCTGCAATGATGCAATACTTGACTGATAGTAATTCTAAATCGTCGCTTAGATTAACACGTTAACTGCCACACTAAATTTACGTACTCCCAAGTCCAAATTGTTTATGTATTATAATATTCAATGTGTATGATATTTAAGTATTTTCTATTTAATATTCTTTAAAACACTCAGTGAAATTATTCTCAACTAGTGAGCTTACAAGTGGTTGACGGGACACTTGAAGTGACACATGTACGAAAAAAATAGTTAATCTTACGAAAATTATAGTCACTTTAGTGAGCGTCAACTGTACTCTTTGTTGTTTTAACGAAAGCACAGTAGCAATGAGCACATGAGGTTGACTATCGATAAAAACATTATAGTATAATTACATTATAGTAATGTTTATCCCTGAGGTTGACTATCGATAAAAACATTATAGTATAATTACATTATAGTAATGTTTATCCCTGAGGTTGACTATCGATAAAAACATTATAGTATAATTACATTATAGTAATGCTTATCCCTTCCCTCCCTCCTCCCATTAAAATGGGTTTCTTATCAGTATTTATTATGCGATATCACGATAATAAAAAATAAATGCTTTTTTCTCAGTGTATAGCCGATTCTATTATTGAAGCCTGGGTTAAGATCGAAACTGAGCAAGCGCACGCAATTTATTCCAGCGTCATTGAAGCCCGTATACTGATGTACATCGTATATTTGTACTATTGCGTCAGGAGGCACGTGCTTTATCTAATTTTTCTAATCCGCCTCTCCCGTCCGAGTGCAAGTCTATTTGCCGATGATGATACCAGGCCTTTACGGTGCATTGACGTCACGCGTGTTCGCACTTATGGCCGGATGGTCGCGACGCGCTGACGTAAATCTATAATTTCGACGAAGTGTTACGTTTAGAAGTTCTTCATCCTCCTCACCGGAAGCCATTAGATTTGTCGTGGTAACTCGTCCGTCAGATACGAGCGCAATCGCCACCTCTTATCGATCCTCTCATACCCGTCAAACTCATGTATTCAATGAATTACCTAGGCATTTATTTATAGCCGCCATTCTATTTCCGCGCACACTGCGTAGTTGCCGCTTCCGATATTCCGCGCGTGTAAGCCTCTCAATAACCGATTTTATACGCGATCGATGTGCCGACTTACGAGCGAGGTTCTTGCTTTCTGTTGCAGAATCTTCGTAGACACCATAGCTACTCGCTATCAAGAAGGAGGGATCACTTCCGGAGGGAAATAGAGAAGGAATAGTACTCGCAAATTTCCGAATAATTCGCACAATGGCACATCGAAAGCCTGTACCGGGAATAAGGCTAACACTGCAAGAAGAAGATTAATTTCTGTCGCTTTCGGCACCAAATGTATATTTTTCGTTGTTTTGACAAGAAAGTAGTCGCAATAATACGCATATAAATTTATTATACTTTTTTAACGTTAAGTGACACTACATCTACTATAAAAATGTTTTTTTTTGCTGACTATAATTCGCCGTGCGATTATAGTCACAATTGCCAGATACTTATTTCGTAGTGGACCAATTGATGCTAATTGCGCAAGATCTGTAGTCGGAATTGAATCTTTAACTGTAGACATTCGTGGAAACGATCATGATATAGAGATCACATCTGGGTCGCGTCGAGAAAAGAAACTGCAATCTGTTTTATTCGTAACTTCAACGTCAGTTCATTTCGCATAACTATAAACAGATTGACACTGAGGACGTATAATTTGTAGCGAAACGAATTGCGGAAGTATGAAAATATTTAATATATCAAAGTACAACTTTTAAGTAGGTACAATTAGTCTGCGCGTGAGACAAATTAAATCAATTGAAAATCCAATAATTAAAAAATATACTTACGTCAATGAATAAATGAATAAAACACAGAGATCAACATAATTAGTCATAGTCATATTATTAGATTTACTTGGAAACATGTTGATGGCGACATATTTTCCGACGAGTTTCGTAACGCATTCAGTATCTAACAGAAGAATTGCTTTGCAATGATCCTTAGAAAATACGTTTTCTTATTAAATTTCTTATTAAATGCTGGAAGTGCGCTTCAATACTAATCGAAAGGAAACTGAAGTGCTATTATGGTTCTTCCTTAGATTTATGGTATTTCAGTTATTTCCCAGATTTATTTTTAGATGTGTATTTTGTAGAGAAAACGGGATTATTCCAATTGGAGAATTCATCCCGAACAAGTCCATAATAGCAGCCGTCGATTTGCTTTCGAGTTTGCACATACCATATATATGCTGACGGTATAAGAAATTGTAGTGACTGCGTGCTAAGGCGTGTACGTCACTCTATGTATACAATAAGATCGCATGTGCATACTTAATGGTTTTAGATCAAATCAAAATACATTGAATGTATAATTGACACATAATATATATTCGTATGTGTACATGTAAAATTGTTACTGATATCGATAAAATAGATGAAATGCCACATTGTGATACGTATAGTGTTCATTTTACCATCCAATTCAATATTAATTCATGAAGCAAAGTTTATTCTTCACATATACACGGCGTGCAAACATTCCTAATGATTTATCGCGTTGCGGAAGTTTTTGACGTAATGTAGAAGACGTAAGCGATCAAATCTGTACATGAGCAACCGCCAATTAAGGGTAAAAGTAGAAGGATACAGGAAACCACATAGATGAAAGCCTAGCTCGTATATAAACACACGTATCATGACCGTCACAAGGGCCAGTCATTAATTAGCGCGTTAATGTAACTATCGCGTCGCTGCGAGAAGTGCTGAAGAGCGTACGACAATTCATTAGATCCTATTCGCTACTGGAATTAAGTTGGAGAGAATTCGAAAGAAAGTACGAATATCGTTTATAACAATGGCACCGGCGCGTCTGTTACTGCTGATTTTCGTGTCATTGATGTTGGTATTCGCGAACGAGGGAATGCCGCTGACTTTCCCAAAGAGAACCCGGCCGCAATCGAAATGTCCACCAGGCTATAGGTACACTCGTACCGGCTGCAGAGAAATTTTGACGTATTGAAAAAGTAAGGTAAATAATTTACATCACACGAGAATTCCGCACTGAGAGAAAAAATAATTTGTCTCTCTATAATTATAGACATTTCCGACGTTAATCATATCTTGTTTGGTGTTTCCAGAGATAAATAGTGATAACAATGGCTGCACTCAGCGGAAAAAGCAGCTCAGTGAACGCTTGATGATTATTGTGTGTGAAATTGAAGCATTCTTTTAGATTCTTCATAAACCCAAAAATATTTACCAGTCAGGAACGATAATCATTAAGCGCTCTCTGAGCTGTTCTTTTTGCTGAATATAGCCAATAATGCATGTAAAATTATCTTCACTAATACTATAATAACACTTGCTACACAAAATTGGTTTTCCTGACTATAACTATTTTACTATACAATTATAATTACAAATAACAAACATTTTTCTCTCAGTGCGGGCTTGATGGTAAACATTGGTATCCCTAATATCACAGTTCATTGGAGTAATATTGGCTACAAATTGGGTCTCAGTATAACCAATAAATAAAATAGACGCCATGTATTTATAATCAATATAGAATTCTGAATATTTGCAATTCATTTGTTACTAATATTGACTATATATTGAGTCATATTCATATTGGTCCAATTATGCTTTAATACTATATGCCTATGCTTTAATTTATGCTAATATCAATCATGTAGTGATTCAATATTAGCAATTTATTCACATTTTATTTATAATCAACATTGGCTATATATTGACTATATTGACCATAATATATGCCAATATAACTAATATTGAGCCAATGTAACGCCAATGAACTGTGCTATTAAGGATTATATACGAAGAAATGTTTACCCAAACACATGATTCTCTTCTTTTGATTTTACGAAAATAACTAATATTATTCACAAATGACGAAAAATTATTTGCTGGGACATAATTTTCTCTTCAAATTTATGAATAAACTAAAGAGAGAAATAATATCTGTTAAGAAAGAAATGATAAAATTTTTTTCAAAATACACGAAGAGGAGGAAGGGGACTTGATAGTGATTATTATATCAAGTTAAAATATGAATCGATTAACGAAAAATAAAACTGATCTTTTTTTAATTATAGAATGGAGTACAAAGGCCACGAGATGCAGTTTTTTCAAAGATGCTGGATTAACGATAAGCAATATCAAAACATTATAATAAGACGATTTCTTTTTTTTAATTATAATGTATCAATTACAAATACATAATATAAAGTAGAATAATTTTTGTCAATCATGTTTATATATCTATAAACGATAAAAACGAAATTTAAATTCCTTATACTTACTTACCGACCACTGAGATACTGTTACCGACGACAGGGATAGAAAAATATCATTTTAATAATTATCTATGTGTGATTGCAAAAAGGAAATAGAGTACATGGAAATAGAGTATGGGTATTCGGTTTATGCGAAAATTGACAAAATATATTGAGTATTGGAAATAAAAATTTTAAAGTAACTTGAAAAATTACACTTATCGTTAGATGGTAACAAAATAAATCTGCATTTATAGAGAGAAAAAATATTTAAAACTTATAATTTGTACTATATGTTATATATTTAAAAATGCAAGAAAATGTGTTTTTATAACAATGATTTTTCCCAACAACAAGAGTTAATCGACAAATTTGCATTTATCTTTTAACTTTGTAAAACACATCTAAACGTGAATGGTATACCGAATAATTTTGCTCAGTAAAAAATATATTAAGGTACGGAGTTTTCCATCAATCTTCCATGAATTTTCCATGAATACAAAGGTAAGCGTTATCTCACGCGCAAGGTGTATTTACAAATTCAATTTCCATTCTACTGAATTTACCTTCAGTAGTTTATCTCATGATTATCAGTTGGTAATAAAGAAAATTTATATCTGGCTAATATACAGTATACTATTTTCTGAAAAAAAATTTACCTTTCTTAATTTAAATATAAATATAAATATAAATTTAAATTTAAATATAAAAAAATAGATTTTTGTTAAAACCAAATTATTCGAGACGTTAAAAACGTTTGTATCCTTTATTTCTGACTTTGTATCATGCCTGACAGTCTGATAAATGTTTAAAGGTGTATGGCAAGTTAATAAAAAAGAAAAGTAAATAGAAAAGTAATCTCTCGGAATCAATCGATCGATCGATTGATTGTAGAACGTTCGATAATCACGATGTTCAAAGAGGTACGTACGACAGTGATTACGAAATTCCTTGAATAGACTATAAAAAATGCTATCTGGAGCGATAAACTCCCCGCTCCTTTAATTAATGCGACTTATTTCTTCCTCGTGAGATTATCAAGGAAAATCGGTTTTATCGCGTTTCTGGAAGGAAACGATACGTTATCTCGGCGTAGTGCCTCAGGCAATTTCGCGGCGGCGCGATACTCGATAGCGGTGGTAGCACCTGAAGAACGTGACGTCTCATGCGAGCGCGCTCGTGATACTAACGTCCCTGCTGCTGTGAACCTCACGCGCCTACGCGCCAGGCAAGAAATACGCGCGCGACGTGTCAGCTCCATCAGTCGATCGCGCGGCGCGAGCACACGGTGGAACGTTCAGGTGCATATCAGTTTGGTATCATACTCATCGAGCACTTATCGCGCTCTCGGAAGCGGTGACTCTCGCAAAGCTTCACACCAAACAGTCGTGACGGGACCGATCAGTCCGTCGATAGAACAATCGTTAATAATAGTAATTATCGTATCGACGTGATTACAACGTGAGTTTTACGTGTCGGTGGAGTGAGGAAATCCGAGGGAAAGAAAAGTGTGTGACGATAAAGCATGCAACCACAACGATTCAGGACGACGTTCGGCCGCCAGCTGCTATGCTTATTCGTGAAAATGCTACTTTTTGGAATACTCTGCGGATTCGTCGTGGTATCTATCAGCGCTCAGTACCACGGCGTTCCCGACGACATAGTCTTCCCCGGACCGGTCAGTTCGAAACCGAGGAACAAACCCGCGACGAGCTACGTCCTCGGCAACGAAGCGCAGGTAAATATATTCATTTACTTACAGAAATTGTTCCTTTTAGTACACAGAAAGAAACGTCTTTGGTATTTATAAATATAATCTTCCCAGTAATCACCAACTAACAGTAACATGCCATCTATATTATAATTTGTCACACGGAAAAAAAAATGTGTCAACCAGAAAGATATGGCATAGCTTCTCTTTCTGACTTTAAGAATTAATTTTTGGTTGCGCTGACCTACTAGTTCGTTACTCCAAAAATGTAAGTGATTGCGACAGACAATTTTTATGAAACCAATAAAAATTGGTCATAGCAGCAATTTCTTTTTTCAATGCACAGCAATGTAAATGCTCAACAATGTAAGTGTAATATAACATACGTAATAAGGTAAATATCCCGATAGCTGGACATTTAACACAACGCAATGCTACGATTGCTTGTTTTTATAGATATATAATATTTAATGTTGTAAATATATAATTAATTAAAAGCTGTAACACTAAAATGTATTATTAAGATATAAGAAATATTAAATATTAAATATTAAATATGAAATAAGAAATATAAAAAATTTCGAAATTATTTAAAAAATAATCAAAATTTTAAAGAGTACAAATGTACCAATATCCGGACAATTGTCCCGATTGCTAAATTCTGCTGACTCAATATTCGCACATGATTATTATGCAAATAAAAAATTTATATTTTGATTAATTTTTATTGAGTTTTCTTTTAATTGACTATTTAAGACTATCCTATGATAACCATTATTTTACTAATAAACATTTTATAAATTCTATGTTTCGTATAAGGTAACAATTATATATTTTGAGATTTACAAACTATTTAGTTAATTTTCTTAATTTGTTTTGCGTCTTTTACTTTTTTATTAAATCTCTTTTTTTCATTCTCATCACAATTAAATACTCTGGATAAGTCAATATTGATAAGATTATTTTTTTGCAAATATATATGCACTTAACTGAACAAATTTTTTAAAACATTATTTGTAGCTAAAACACGAGTAAGTTAAATTCTAAGCCACTCTAACACATAGATGATGTTTACAGAAACTTTCATACTAATGCCTACTATGCCTGTTATTTTTGAAAGGTGTTTCTTTTTCCATTTCAGTCACTAAGAAGTGACTGAAGAAACATCGAGTAATTGCGTCTTAGTAATTGGGAAACCTCTCTATCTCATTGTAGTATTTAGTACATTATCTCTATTCAACTATTTTTAATTCCTCTTCTTTATTTGAAATAGTTGCTGCTCTTTTAGAATAGTTGACGCGGAGTAGATGTTCTTTGATTTATAATAAACAGTGCTCTTTGGTATGTTATATATTCTTGTTGCTTCTCTATATATAATACTATTTTTCATATGTTCCAAAGCAGCGTTCACGTCTTTTTGGACATATGATCTTTCTCTTTCTTTTGGCATGTTTATAATACTAAGAAAAGCCTTAATTCATGTAGTATTAATGAAAATAATATTGCAAGATTATATGACTCTAATATATACAAAGTGTAAATAAAAAATTCATCACTGAATTTTTTTCTGCCGACATGGCAACACTGTAGGCTTCTATGATGGTTTGACGTCTAGGAGAAAGCCTTACGAGTCATCAGTGCAAGTTAGATTACTATCGAGTGTGTACGTATTTTTCTGTGCCTGTATTTGTAAACGCAGTTTTTTACGCAATTGAAATGGAGCGAGATGCTTTAACTGAGAACTAACATCAAATTTCTCGTGAAACTCGATAAAAGCGGGCGGAAAATTCTTGAAATGTTAGACACTGTGTATGGGAAGTCTGCCATGAAACGTGAAACTGTATATAAATGGGTAAATTAGTTTAGGGAAGGGCGAAAGAGCGTTGATAACGACGCGCGAAAAGGTCGCTCTTCAACGTCACGTGTTGATGAAAACATTCAACGTGTTCACGATTTAGTGATGTCAGACCGTCGCATTACTACTAGAATGATTGCTGCTGAACTGGGAATTAGTAAACGACTTGAATTGTGGGAGGAAAAGAACTGGATCCTGCATCACGACAATGCATCTTCACACTCGGTGCTTATTGTGAGTTTTTCGCCAAAAAACGACATGGATCACCCTCCCTATTTACCTGATTTAGCTCCCTATGAATTTTTGTTCCTTAAAGTTAAAACAATTATGCGGGGTGAACATTTTGAGGATATGGAAAACATCAAACGACGAGGCTCTTGAAGAACCTAACTTTGCAGGATATACAACACTGTTTTCAATAGAAAAAACGTTGAGCTAAGTGCATTCAGTCAGGGGCAGAATACTTTGAGAGTGATCACGTTCCCGTTCCGGAATGATTAAAAAATTTTTTATGAGCTCAGTATACAAACTTTGTCCACATCTCGTATTTACAAAACACTAGAATATCTACTTACTTTTTAAACTAATGTTAACAATATTATTAAGTAAGCTTATTTATAAAAGTACTTACAAAATTAATCTTAAGCAGTTATTCCTTAATTCGTTTATTGGTATTCACGAGCACATATCTAACCAAAGCGAGTTGCACCGGGAATTGAACATGTGGCCGATTAATAGGCAGTCACGAAATTACTGTACCATTAAATTCACAGAATTTAGCTACAAATAATTTCTTTTATTAACTAAACACATTCTTATAATTATTCTTTATTGGATTTCTCTATTTTATTATTCTCTATTTTTGGATTGAACAACGTAATGTTCATAAGAAAAACTTATATATATAATTTTTTTACAAGGTAAATAACAAATGTCTTAACAAATATATCAAACTTCTTAAGAAGATGTTAAGAACATCGTCAAAGTATGTAATCCTGTATGTAATCATATTATAATTTTCTTTTTCTTTGGACACTAAATTCTATAATACTTTAATTATCTCAACATGTAAATATTTTTGAATATCGACAGATTTCAATTAAATGTTAATGTTACACTAGAAGAAATATTTGAGATTAATAATGGTAAGTTTCCGTGTATATGTTTGAATATTGGGACATGTCCGGTAATTGGTACATTTATTTTACATAACAGTTATATTGTTAAACGAGAAATAATAACGTAACGTTTAGTTAATTATAACATTACTGTCAGTTGGTGTTTACTAGAATATAGCTATAACTACAATCATATTATGACTGTAACCATACAAACTGGAATATACACTGAGAGAAAAAAATAGTTGGAATAACTATAATCTCACTATATTTTATAGTTCGTTTTGGCCTCAAACATATATTTATAGTTCATCTAAACATGAAGATATAGTAGAATGAACACAGATTTATAGTCACCATCTTATTACTCTATATATATGGTAAAGCATCTTTTGAGAATATAGTTACATGTACTTATATTTGCCAAATATTCTAATTGTATTGACTATATAAAATAGTTAATTTCTCTTACCATTCAATATTTGCTACCTTACTATATTTTTTATTTCAAATAATTATAATTCTTGGTAAAAATTTTACACGGGTCAGTTATACTATGCTTATATTGTAAATATTACAAATATTATGGTAACATTTACTATAAAAATTATATTCCTAACTATAATCTTTTTACTATGCCATTATAGTTCCAAATATCATACATTTTTCTCTCAGTGTAGTACTACAACCATACTGTAATCATACAGTAAAGAAATTGTAGTTAGGAGAACCATTTTTGTAGTAATTATTATTATAGTATTAGTGATAATAACCTTGCCTGTTATATTGCTATTACTGTTTTTTTTGGTTAGAATCGCAGGAAAATATATAATTAGCAATGAAAATGATCATGGAGAGATTTATCTTTTTTCCTCTTAGTGCACTAGATTTAACATAAACGAGATTTATCTTTTTCCTCTTAGCGCACTAGATTTAACATAAACGAGATTTATCTTTTTTCCTCTTAGTGCACTAGATTTAACATAAACGTAACTACAAATTGCTACACATTAAGTTTTTCCCAATCGACGCAAACAGTTCAGCCAGGTTTTGTAAGAATAGATAATGACAGGACGCAGTATGTTTCGTTTTCCGCGAGCCATTTCTCGCTGAAGGCCGAATCGGCCAATGTCGAGGGTACATCCCCGGTGATATAACCGCGACATGATTAAGAGCGCAGGGACGAGTAGTGTTTACGATTCCCGGCACGTTATTCGCGGCTTCGCGTGAAACGTCAAACTCTACGTCATTGTACGCATTTGTGCAAATACCTGCGATCAGCCAACTTGCCTGGTCATCGATCATCTCCCGTGGTGTCATTTCTCCCGTGGTGCACGCGGCAACCAACAGAGAACAGGAAAAGGTGCAATAAATTAAAATAACGTGCAAAAAAAAGTGCAATAAATTAAAATAGCGTGAAATTATAACCTGGGCAACAAAGACCAGGATCTCCTAAGAAACGATTTTTAGATGCTGGCTGCCTGGGGCCGGTAGGGTAAACAGAGAAATTCCTAGCAAAGTCGAGTTCGCTCGGTCGCCCGCTGTTTCATGGCGGATGAGTCCCCGGTATCCAATCGCGCCGATAAAATCGTGCGATTAGTACGCGGCGACGGTGACAATTATAACGTCGGCTGACTCAGTAGAGAGAAATCGAGGTTGCGAATAATGAAGTAGCGTAACAGCTTAGCCAAGCGCCGTGCCGCAAGGCGGGACGGAACGAAGCGCAGAGCAGCGCAGCCTTGCTTCCAGGCAAGGTCGAAGGCGACGTTTACTCCGACAGGAACGAGAAAGCCGCGTGGTCCGCATTCGCCGCGTCCGCCGCAAACCGGAGCTACGTGTGTTCGCGGTGTTTGCGTACGTTATCGTTCGAGAGTAGCTCGTATCTTCGGATCTTGTACGATCGCACGCACCGGCGAATGGGTGTGAATCACGGCTCGGCGCGACGTCCCGGGTGGCGTGTCTCTTCTATTATGCAAATCGCGGTAGGCGCGCAACCTGTTTCCCAATTCCTGCGAAGCTGCGCGTTTCCTCGGGAAATATTTCCTCAGGTGCTCGTGTCACCTGAGGAATATATCCTCATTTTATTTCGAAATCTTTGTGCCTCGGCCGACAGCAGAGCGTCCGCGACGGGCTGTTAATTACGTCGGAGACACGCGCATGCTTCCGAGGAAAGTGTGCATTCTTTGGCGAAACTGCAAGCCGACTCCGTCCTTTGTGAGAAACTTGTACTCCGGCCGGCCGAGGTTTATCCCGATGTTTATCGGTTACGGGCTCTGCCTTCGAGGGTCGCGAAGTGATTTAACGAACGCGTAAAATATACGTCGCTAATGGTAGACTAATATTTAACTCCCCAGTCGCTTGTTAAATAGCTGAGTGAGTTGTTTGCTCCTTTTTCGATAGCTATATAGTGCAATATATTCTCTCGGGAACCTGTTTGCATCGCGATACCGAAGTTAGAAAGAGATGACTTCACATCCACTTGGAGCAGTGGCTATCAACGAGTAATGTAGAAATTATGCATAATGTCTTGCTCTTTCCCGCCCTTTCCCGTCGCCAGGTTTATGGAGGCGCGTTTTATATTTTACACGGATATCTTTCGTTAATTTCGCGACGAATTCTCTTTAATTGAAACGTTGAGGCTGAACCGATAAGTCTTAAGTAACGAATGATTAGAAGTAAAAAGCTTCTTCGATTACTTGACGGTACAGACGTGCAAAGATAATAAGACCGCATCATTTATCATTTATCAACGCGTTGATGCCGTAACACTTATTTTGCTTCAAGCACAAGTAGCACAAGTAGAGAGAATACACTGGTAGAAATATTTGCAGTTTGCGAAGATATCCGCCCAACTATTTTCTAATGTTAATATCATCAGTAGTATGAACATATTGTCAGTAATATGAATTTAGTTTTATAATGTGCACGTGTTATAATGTCCATCGTGAGTAGATTTAAGACATATTTATTTATATTGTTAAAACAGAACTTCAAATTGAGTGAACAGTGAATGGATGTGTAGGAAGGCATGAAGCAAGAAAAAGGAAATTAGAGGAAATAAGGAATTTTACAACGTTAAGAGCGACACAGATAATCAAGGTTAGAAATGAAAGTCAGCAAAAGACAAATGGGATATATGTTAACAATACAGCATTTCATTGCGATGAGAACATATTAAATTATTCTAATGCTAATGATACAAGTGAAACTGTCATGATAGCTCAAAGTCAGAATCTAATGAAATAGTACAACTACAAGAATGGATAAAAGGACATGTAACATTTGATGGTTGTGAATAATGTCATGTAAAAGACAAAAAACATGAAAACACATCAAAGAGAGATTCCCTGCTCTCATTACCATCAAATTTTTTCTATTAGAAAGCATGCATAAGAAATAAGATACTGTTAGAGCAAACCTGTCCATTTTATGAACAGCAGTCTTGATTATTAGTCCATTGAATATTTTTTTGTTTATTTTCTATTTTGTTTTTGTTCAGTAAATATATTCACAATTTTATTCAGTGAATTCAAGATTTAAAATCTTCCTCACACAGTAGCTGCAGAAAAAACATGTTGATTGAGATCCCAAATAATTTTACTCTTTAATTACTAGACAGAACTGAATATAACTGTCGAAAACAGTACTAAATTTTTATAAGGGTAGATGAGAAAAATAAATTCATTTTCAGAGAAACTGGCCACTTTTATTTAAATAATATCGGATCGTTGACCTGCGCTCGTTTTACTGTAGATGATTGTCAACTTAGTCACGCGAGAATCCGCAATCAAACGGGATGATTCACGAATCGGTTACTCGCGGGAATATCCCGGAATACCAAAGGATTCTGTTTTATATTTATCCTTTCGATCAAGATTTATGAGATTGCACCTTGGAAAGAAATTTGCACTGGTACTTGCGACCAATTAAAATGTATTATCTCTCCCAGTGTCACAAACGCTGAAAGTCTGTTGCGTGTCGCACAAGTTGGATTAAAACGGAAAATGATCATTTAAAATTTTTCTTGCGCATTAAATTCTCCAAGACAACAGGAAAACCGCTTAAACATAAAATAACACGTTGTACTTTGGGTAATAATTTCATAAGTAATATTCAATTTTCTTAACCAAAAACTTATTTCTTTACTTGTTCCTGATATCTTATCAAAGCTATTCGTTAAATATATCTTAAGATTTGATATATACTGACTAATAGCAAATAAAGTAATATTGAAAAGCAACTTTTATCTTCGTGGTTCCATCGAGTTTCCCACTTAAATTCGCTCTTTAGTACAGTATCAGTTGCAGTTATATTATATGTATGATTCATCGTATCGGATTTCGATTAGATTATTCTCTGATTAAAAGTTTCTGACGAACTTCCTTTAAAACTCATCGGAAAATAATTATTTTATTTATGATTGTATGAGTAGCATTCGAATATGTCCCTACAAAATAGAAATCTGTTTCGTTGCAAGTTATATAATATTTATCATACTGATACTTTAGTACAGTGTCTGTACTAAAGAGCGAATTTAAGTAGGAAACTCGATGGAAACACGAAAATAAAAGTAACCTGACCTATCTAATGCAATATTCTAAACCGTACATGATGGGTTTGGTTAGGGTTAGTTTTTTGGGGAGGGGGTACAGAAGAGAGACAGAACGCCCCCCCCCCCCCCCC